ATTCTTCATATCATGACCCCCAGAAATATGGCACCACAATAAGATACATGCATATATCCAAGATTTACAAATAATTATAGAAAAATCTTTTTGTCAAGATCCACCCTGGGGTAGTGTGGATTCTTACTTGTTAAAATCATGACCCCTGGGGGTAGGTTGGGGTCATATGAAATATACAGGGAGATCTGTTAAAAATCATGACATCTAATGTAGGATGGGGTCAAAATAGAGATCAAAGTTTTACATAGGAATGTATGATAGAAGAAATCTGCAGGATGATATTGACTCAGGTGAGTGTTGTGGCCCATGAGTCTATTGTCTTGGAGACCAACCTATTTTGCACTTAGATTTTGATCAAATTCTTTACTAGACTGTTAGTTTTACTCCTATTAAAGTTACCAACACAACTTTATGAAACTTTGACCTTAATTAAAACTAAGTATTGGATGCCTAGCATTGCCATTTATTTAATATATAAATGATTTGTGGTGTTGTAAGCAATGTGGTAGTGTAAGGTATATGTTATCTTGCTTACTTTTTCTTTCATTGTGTCCAGCTGATAAATGCTGCAAGGTCTGCTAGAATTTAAAAAAAAATTGTTTGTTTGGAATTGCCGCCTGGAGGGTTTCAGACACAGGCAAAAGGGAAATGTTTTTTTTTTTTTTTTTCTAAAATTGAAGATCAATAAAAAAATTTCAGGAGGGGGGATTTTAATTAGGCAGGAGGCAATTCCAAACAAACCATATTATTTTGATCTCAACAAACTTTTAGCGTATGCATCTTTGTAAGAAAGTGTGATCAATGCATTTGTAAGTCTATAATAATTAAGTTGTCTTGCTGATAAACTGGAAAAGTATTAGATGTAGAATCATTGTATTTGTTGGGTCTCTGTGATCGTCAATTAGAATTTATAGAAAAGAGCCATATTAGGGTGGTTATAAGTAATTAAGTAAAGTAGATGATGTAATATTATTAAAAATGCTTGCATCAAGAAATGCAGATAGTTCATGAAATACAGGTATAGATTTAAATATTTTTTTTTTTTATGTGCCTGGATCAATAGAGCGGGGGCGCATATTGATTTTGTGCTATCTGTCTGTTTGTCTGCAAACTTTAACCTTAATAGCCATAACTTTTAAACTATGCGAGATAGAGACTTCAGATTTGGTATGCATACTGCACTAAATAAGCTGTTACAAATGACACAGGTAAATGACCTTATAACCTTGATTGTGAAATATATGCTGATAGTTTTTTTTTTCTCGAACCTTTACCATAACATTTGAACCATAGGACAGATAGAAACTTCATATTTAGAATGCATACTCCACTAGTTATAATGCTCTTTCAAATGACACCACGGTCGAAGGTCAATGACTTTGTGACCTTGACTGTGACTTAATTGCTAAAAATATCTGTTTTTGAACCTTCGCTATAACTTTTAAATCACTGGAGATAGAAACTTCATATATGTTATGCTAATTCCATTAATTTAAGCTCTTTCAAATGACACTTAAATCAATGATTTTGTGACCTTGACTGTGACCTATATCCTAAAAGTAGCCTTTTTGAACCTTCACTATAACTTTTGAACCATAAGAGATGCTAACTTCATATTTAGAATGCATATTCCACTAATTAAGTTCTTTCAAATCAAACCAAGTTCAATGACCTTGACCTTAACTGTGACTATGATAAAATAGCTTTTCCAAACTTTGTTGCTGCCAGATGCATAGTGTTTCAGAAAGGCATCTTGTGTTTCCCTAATAACAACATATATGTGGAATAATATTATACAACAAACATGTTGAAACAACTAATTTATCATAAAATTAGAGTAATTTATTCATGCTGTGACAGAAGGGATCAAATTCATAGTTTTAATGAGTTCAAAATGTAAAGGGTATACAAGTGTATTTAATATTTGATAGAAGCAAAATTGCTTTTATCAGCTGAAGACTTAGGGTATTATTTAATGTATTTTAAGAAGTCTGCTTTAATTGATCTGTTGGAGCATATCTGATTATGCAGGGTTAATTCATATCTTAGGTAATAGTCAAAGGAATTTAAGGAAATGACCACAAAATTTCAGTTGAAACGATTCATTTAATTATCCTAGATTTGATGTTGAGCATTTTGTTATACCCATGCTTGAAAACTGGGAGGGTATATACTATATAGTAATCTGGATGTACAATTGTCTGTCCATCCGTCAGTACGTCTGTTACATTTTGGGGTACCCATCTCTTATCCACAACTCCTCTCATACAATATGTACCACTGAATGACATTTGATGAAACTTTTACAAAATCTTTATTACCTCTTCTGAGCCAAAGGCTTAAAGAGCTATTTATGCTATGGCCATTTGTGCGGTGTGCGTTAATTTTATAGAATATGGGTCATAACTCAAGAACCCCTTGGCCAATCAGTGTCAAATTTGTCACAGGGTATCCTTGACCCAAGGGCCACTATTTATATTAAGATAAGGGTTGGGACCATTAAACAAGGGGAGATAATCAGGAAAACAAAACCAAAAGTACTGGTTGCTAAAAAATCTTCTTCTCCAGAACAACCAGGCAGATTTTCACCAAACTTACATACAAGTATCAGGATATGTCAAATATTAAAAATTGTTCAAGGCACCACCCTAGGGCAAAGGGCATGGTCGCTTCAAAATTGACCTAAATTTACAATTAATAAAAACATGTATAATTTGCTTACTATAAGGACTAGGATAATCAAATCTTGTAAGTTGATGCATCTTACGACTTCACATCATGTTAACTCAAAATACGTCACGGTGACCTACTTTTTATATTTTGCGGGGATTTGTTTTCAAATTGATTTGAAGTCATATTTTGGACACTTTAAGGCCTATGATCATCAAACTTTGTCAGTTGATGCATCTTGGGTCCTCGAACAATGTCAACTTATAATTAGGTCACCATGACCTACTTTTTGAACTTTATATGACTTATTTTTTTAAAAACATAAAATCCCATTATTTCAGACACTGGGAGGTTTAGAATCATCAAATCTTGTACTTTGATGCATCTTTTGACCTTAAAACATATTTATGAAAAAGTAGGTCACTGTGACCTACTTTTTGAATTTTGCCGACATTTGTTTTCAAATTGTTTAAAACGCATATTTTGATTACCTTCAGACCTAGGATCATCAAACTTGGTCAATAAATGCATCTTGGGTCTTTGAAAAATGTCGACAAAAATGTAGGTCACGATGACCTACTTTCGACATTTTATGGCTATATTTAAGTATTTTAGATATTAATTGGCTTAGAATCATCAAACTTTGTGAGTCTATGCATATTTGGTTTTCGGAGAGTGGCGACCAAAAAGTAGATCATGGTGACCTACTTTTGACATTTTATGGCTTTATTTAAGTATTTCCGGTACTTATTGGCTTAGAATCATCAAACTTTGTGAGTTGATGCATCTTGGGTTTTCGGAGAGTGACGACCAAAAAGTAGATCATGGTGACCTACTTCTGACATTTTGTGGCTATATTTGAGTATCCCAGGCACTTATTGGCTAAGAATCATCAAACTTTGTCAGTTGAGCCTTCTTGGGTTTTCGGAGAATGTCTACCAAAAAGTAGGTCACGGTGACCTACTTTTGAATATCTCAGGTACGTATTAGCTCAGAATCATCAAACTTTGTCAGTTTAGGAACCTTGGGTTTTCAGAGAACGTCTACCAAAAAGTAGGTCACTGTGACCTACTTTTGACATTTTATGACATTTTTGACATTTTTATGGCTATATTTAATTATATCTGGTACTTATTGGCTTGGAATCATCAAACTTTGTCAGTTGAGGCATCTTAGGGTTTCATTGAATGTCCAACAAGAAGTTAGGACACAGTGACCTACTTTTGAATATCTCAGGTACTTATTGGCTTAGAATCATCAAATTTTGTCAGTTGAGGCATCTTGGGTTTTGGATGACGTAGACCAAAAAGTAGGTCACCATGACCTACTTTTGACATTTGATGGCTATATTTAATTATCTCTGGTACTAATTAGCTTAGAATCGTCAAACTTTGTCAGTTGATGCATCTTGGGTTTTCAGAGAATGTTAACCAAAAAGTAGGTCATGGTGACCTACTTTTGAATATCTTAGGTACTTATTTAATTAGAATCATCAGTCTTTGTTAATTAATATATCTTGAGTCCTCAGAAAATTTCAATCAAAAGGTGGGTCACTGTGACCTACTTATGATGTTTTATAATTATATAATAATATCTTCAGTCCTAACTGGCTAAATATTATAAAACTTTGTAAGTTGATGCATTTTGGGTCTTATGATACTAATAGAGTTGGAGGCTTCTAATTGAAATGATACTCAGTAGATTGTACAATATATCAGAAGAGCGATTCAAGGCCCTTGGGCCTCTTGTTTTGTTTAAGGATTTTTGTTAGATAAGAAATAAAATAGCTTTTCATTGGCTTACTAAACAATTCCAATATCCTGAAAAATTGAATAATTTTTTTTTTTTTTACAAAATCATTAATGATTAAAAAAAAGTTAATGTTGGTGCATTTTCAGTGGGTCAGAGGCAACTGCAACCAAACAAATTTTTATTTTAGGCATAAAAGGGGTACTGTATGTGTACTTAAAAAGAGGGCTTCCTTTTCAAGCAGCTTTGGCGCAATGATGGACTTAAATTCATGAATATATTGCTAGAGAAATCATTTTCAAATACAATATACAGATATTCATCACAGACATGCGTAGTGCTAATTCATAATTAAGCCAACAACTGTATATCCATAGATTGCACTAAATTTTGAAAAAAAAAACAAATTATGTACACATACACTATATATATATCCTGTTAATGGCTATAGCTTAAAGTGTAGACCGTAAAAGACATTGTTATGCAATAAAATGTGATAAAATTTTTTTATTTGGTTTCCTTATTCAAATTTAATATGAATAACTTGTTTTGATATCTGGGAAAAATGTTTTATTTTTTAGATGCCAAAGAGAAAGAGCTTGACTGGCAGAGAAAAACGCCAGAGAGATAAAGAGCGCAAGAGGGAAAAGAGGCAGGAGCAGTCCTTGTCACCACCAGATGCTAGACCTGGTGATCCTCCTCAAGATTCTGCTGTCCCGGCTGGGGCAGTAGCTGGAGCTATCTCAGCTCCACCCGGTAATTTTCCGGGGCAAGGCTCTATAGGGTTGCCGCCTTTTGAGGAAAAACCCTTGGCCAGGTTGCAGGCCTCTCTTCGCGAGAAAATGCAACCAACTGCCCTGAGTAACGCATCTTCTCAGGGAAGTCGTCTGTGTGCCCAAAACGGAGGCATGGCACCGTCCCCTGACTCCCCACCGTGGGTTTGTACCTCGCCGAGGGTACCTGAGCCGGACACCGTGCACGTGTCTGGCTCAGCAGGTCAGGCGCAGCTGGATATGTCATCCTCTCAGGGGGATGAGTCCAGCAGGATATTGATTGATGCAAACCAGAGTAAAAGAACGAGATCTAAAAAGGATACTAAAAGGAATTTACATGATGAAAATGAGAATATAGAGAATGTATATGAGAGATATAAATCAGAATGTAGAATTGGAAGACTGTGTACTGGTGAACTTGGTGTTGACTGTGCTTGTGGTAGTAAAGATGGACCAGTAACATTGAAAGAGGTATGTATTCAAGGGTCTTTTCATCAAGGTGACTTAATGTTTGGTGAAAATGCAGGAACACAATGTGTTGCAAACTCTTTAGCAGCTTTAGCATACCATAAAGTAAAGAATTCTAATCAGTGGCAAACTTCAGATATGAATAAAGTGTTAGCAACAGGAGATGAGCTTTATACGTACTTGCAGCGTAGTTCAACCATTGTCAGTAGGTATCTTTTTGTGAATGAGTTGCCTCAATTTTTTGAGTGTTTTAATACAACGTTTGAGTTCAAAGCATGCGAATCTTTATGCAGCCTAATAAATTTGTCAGATGTAGAACCAAACTATGATGAATTTAATGCATATTCACTCACAGATGCATTGCAAATTGGTCTTGGAGAAACAAGTGGGTGTTTTGTATGCTTCAAGGGAAATACTTTTTTGGTTGGAAAAACAGAGGATGGCTTCTTTACATTTGATCCACATTCACGATCACAATCGGGGTGTATGATTGTTAGTGGAAGGAGTACAAGGATACTGTATCAATCAGTTGATGATATTTACAATCACATCTTGTCCTTGGCTATCTCAATGGGAATTTCTGGAATTACTGAATGTGAAATTACAGGTGTTGATTGTTCAGTTAGCCAGTTTGCAACAACTGATAAACATGTTATTGAAATTGAGCCAGGAAAATACACTCAGCAAAATAAAGACTTGAATTTAGCAGTTAAAGAAAACAGAGACCTTTTGACTGCAAATGTTCAATCAGATGCTAATGGTTTTCAGTCAGTTGCCAATGATGATGTTGAACTCATCTGCAGTGAAAGTCATAGTATTAGCTTTCTGCCACTTTCTAACTCTGTGAAGTTACAGCTTTGTCAGACCCTGGGAATACCACATTCAGGTACAAATAGTAATGTTGAACAGGATTGCTTTGTGCAAGAAGCAGGTGCACCTACTGAATGCGTTGAAATTGAAGGGGATGGAAATTGTTTTTTCAGGGCCATTTCACTTTGTTTGGTTGGAGTAGAAGATCATCATTATGCAATACGATCAGCAGTGTGTAAACATCTACTACAAAATAGAATATTGTTTGAAGCTTTTGTAAGATCTACAGAAAGTTCTGTTGAAAATCACTTGAATTTAACAGGTATGTCAAAAGATGGTACATGGGCAACTGAAATGGAAATTCTTGCTCTCTCTCACCTCTTGAGCACTGATATACATACATATACAGAAAATCACTGGGTTACATTCTCAGGAAAACAGGTAGAACCTATGAATGTTCAAAGCACAGGGTCATTTTATTTAGTTCATCAGGATCAGAATCATTACAATGTAGTGGTGACAGTTATGGAGAAAGAAACGGTTTGTTCCAAGAAAAATAATTCCCATTATGTTGGCAGGAAAAGCAACAGAGAAAGAAGACGTAGAAATCGAAATCATATGAGGGAAGTGCGTATCCTTTCATCCATGAAAAAATTAAGTACAAATCATGAAAAGAAACTGAAGAATGAAAATTACACAGAAAAGAAATTAAGAGCAGCAAAACTTAAGTACAAGACTGACCTTCAATTTAGATTAAAGGAAAGATATAAAAGTGATGGAATTTTCAAAGCAAAGGCAAAACAGAAGAGCTTGGAAGCTAGTAAAAGGAAATATGTAATAGATGATGTCCATAAACAATACAGGAAGAGAAGAAGTATTGAGAAATATAGGCTAGATAAAGTACATAGAGAGGATGTTAAACAAAGAAGTATAGATAAGTACAAGAAAGATAAAAAACACAGAAAAGATGTAAAACAAAGAAGTACAGAGAAATACAGGAATGATGAAGTACACAGAGAGGGTGTAAAACAAAGAAGTATGGAAAAGTACATGAATGATGAAGCACACAGAGAAGTGAAAAGTGCACAGAAAGGATGTAAAACAGAGAAGTACAGAGAAATATAGAAAAATACAAGAGAGGGTTTAAAACAAAGATGAAAAGTACACACACAGAATAAGCATAGGGTGAAGAACATAAGCATAAGGTTAAGGGTGTTAATAAAGTAAAGTATCATTTTAGTGCTACTGAGAAAAAGAAGAAGAAGGAGAATGTTCTGAATCAGAGACGAGCCCTAAAAGTAAAGTTGGAAGATGAAGAAGAAGTTGTGAAATTGTTTAAGGAAAGTGTGAGAGATGGCCCAGACTACATATGTTGCTGTTGTAATCGTTTACTGTTTGAACATCAAGTCCAACGATGCACACTTGAAATGTATGAGAAAAGACATGGAGCTTATCAAATTGCACAGAATTGTATACAGAAAAAATACTCTCATGATTGTACTCTGTTTTGTCCAGTGCATTGCCCCAAGTCATCATTGTGGATATGCTTTACTTGTCATAGGAAAATATTGAATGGGAAAATTCCAGCAGAGGCAGCTGTCAATAAAATGTCATTAGAGGAAATTCCATGCGAACTTAGCAGTTTAAACAGTTTGGAACAGCATTTAATTGCTTTGCATATTCCCTTCATGAAAGTGATGGCTCTTCCACAAGGTGGTCAAAGGAATGTACATGGGCCTGTTGTTTGTGTGCCATCAAATATGGAAAAGGCAACAGCTTTACCAAGAAATGGGGATGACAATTTATTGTTAAGAGTTAAGCTAAAACGAAAGCTAGCGTACAAGGGCTATTACGAATACCAATTTGTTAATCCAAATCATGTTAACATGGCTCTTGATTATTTAAGGAAAGAAAACATATGGTATAAAGACCTAGTGATAAATACCTTGTGGGAAGGAAATAGTGACCAAAATGACTTGCTATTTAATGAGACTCCTGAATTTGTAGATGAAGAAGTGAAAGAAGATGAGAGAGATGAAAATCCAGTTGCTACTGACACATGTTTACAGCCAGTAGATGTGGCACAAGAAGTTCTTGATCATTACTTTGATGACGTTTACAATATAGCACCAGGTGAAGGGAAAAATCCAATCCGAATGTTGCAAGAAGAAGGAAACGAAGCAAAATCATTTCCACATTTATTTCCAAGTGGCAACTTTTCTTGGAATGAAGATCGAGATGTAAAAATAACCTTATCAAGATATTTTAACAACAGACTTATGAATGCTGATAACAGATTTGCTAAGGACACAAATTACATCTTCTTTTCTCAATACATGTCAGAATTGAACCAAGTAATTGAGAAAACACAAATTTCAATTCGAAAGTCTTTATCAAAGCTTGATAGTGGAAATGCAGTAACATCTGAAATGTTACAGAATCCTGATGTTCTCTCAAAACTCTTGAGGAATGATGAGGCTTTACGATTTATGCAACCTATTCGAGGAACACCTGCATATTGGTCGGCTTCTCAGAAAGATCTATTTGCTATGCTTCGACAGTTAGGCATCCCAACATGGTTTTGTTCATTTTCTGCAGCTGAATTCAGATGGAACGAAATAATTGGATCGATTTTACTTCAAGAAAATGATTCTAGAGCACCTTCTGATTTAGACTGGTCAGAAAAGAGTCAAATTTTGAGAAGCAATCCAGTTACTGTTGCCAGAATGTTTGAACATAGATTCCATATGTTTCAAAGACATGTAATATTGTCACCCTCAAAACCAATAGGAAATGTTATTGATTTCTTCGTTAGAGTAGAATTTCAACAAAGGGGCTCTCCACACATGCACTGCTTGTACTGGGTTGAGAATGCACCAAAATTTGATGAAGATGATGATAACACTGTTTGCAATTTCATTGATAAATACATCACATGTGCTATACCTGCTGAAAATGATGACCAAGAGCTGCGGGAAATTGTGTTAGGTGTTCAACAACATAGTAAGAACCATTCAAAATCATGTAGGAAAAAGGGTACAGACTGTCGATTCCACTTTCCAAGACCACCATCAGAAAGAACCTTTATTACAAGACAATGTGAGGAAAATGAAGAGGACTCTGAGAAATTCGACGGATTGAGTAAATCTCAGGCTAAAGATATTTTGATGCATGTTTGGAATGAAGTTCTTGATGATGTGAATGAAGGCAAAACTGCAGAGGAAATATTCACTAAGATGCAATTATCACAGGATACTTACGAAAGGGCACACAGGGTATTATCTGCAAAAACAAGTACTATCTTGAAACGAAATCCTGATGAAATGTGGACAAACCAATACAACGCATGCCTTCTCAAATGCTGGGATGCCAATATGGACATACAGTACATTCTTGACCCATTTAGCTGCATTGTTTACATAATTTCATACATATCCAAGTCAGAACGTGAAATGGGAATGTTGCTGAAACAAACTCAAGTAGAATCTGCAGAGGGAAATTTAAGTGCTCGTCAGACAATAAGAAAAATTGGATCAGCTTATCTTAATCATAGAGAAGTGAGTGCCCAAGAAGCAGTGTACAGAGTTTGTAATCTAAAAATGAAAGAAGGATCTAGGAAAGTAGTGTTTGTTCCTGTTGGTGAAAATCCGACTAGATTAAGTAAACCCCTTTCACAAATGAAAAGAACATGTAAGAACGAAGATGATATGGAAGATGATGACGACAGTATTTGGATGACAAATATAGTGGAGAGATATGAAAATCGTCCTGATCTACATCCTTTTCCTGAAATGTGCCTTGCAGAATTTTGCTCAGAGTATCGTGTTTTGGCAAAATCTCAAATTCCCAAGGGAGTAAAAGAAGGCGTTTATGAATTGAAAAATGGAAATGGTTACATTCAGAAAAGAACAAGAGCTAAGCCAGCCGTAGTAAGATATCCAAGGTTCAATCCTGAAAATGCATCAGAAAAGTATTATCAGTCAATACTACAGCTTTTTCTTCCATATTGGACCCAAGATCAATTGAAACCGCCTGGATTCAAGTTTTATCAGACATTTTACGAAGAGGGGTTTGTCAGAATTGGAAATGAATTCAAATTACAGTCTGTCAGGATTGTGGTTGAAAACAATCGTTGTAATTTCTCAAAGAATGAGGATGCCCTTGAAAATGCTCAGGAAACTCTAGAAGTTTATGGTGAACCTGAAGATGCTTGGGCTAACCTTTGTCCAGAAACTGAAAGAAATAGAGATGAATGTCTAAATGAAAAGAGGAAAACAGAACAATCAGAAAACAAAGAACAAGAAATCACTCATGAAATTGAACATGATGGCCCTTCAGATTTGATATACCATATTAGGGAAAATTCAAACTCAAGGCAAGAAATTGTGCCTTTATTGCGAAATTTAAATGATAAACAAAGACAAGTTTTCTACATAGTTCGCGACTGGTGCTTGAAAAAAGTAGCTGAGAGGAAAGTAGAACCATTACATATCTTTGTTACTGGAGGTGCAGGAACAGGAAAAAGTCACCTGATAAAGACTATACAGTATGAGGCCTCTCGAATTTTTGAGAAAATTGTTTCATCTCCTTCAGATTTATCTGTTCTTCTCACAGCTTTTACTGGAACTGCTGCTTTCAATATTGGGGGAAACACAATTCACCACGTATTTTCTTTAACCAAAGCTCTACCCATTCCATACGAACCCTTGAAAGAACAGAGTTTGAGTGCAATGAGAGCGAAGTTAGCTTCTCTACAGATTTTAGTAATCGATGAAGTCTCAATGGTGTACAAACGACTTTTGTATTACATTCATGAACGACTGGTACAAATCAAGAAATGCAAGGAACCTTTTGGTGGTATTTCTGTAATAGCAGTTGGAGATTTTTACCAACTACCTCCTGTGAAACAACGAAAGTTGGAAATACTCTACAAACAAAATGATGAATATCCCATAGACTACTGGTTAGACTTCTTCAAAATTGTTGAGTTAGAAGAAATAATGAGACAACGTGACGATGCTGCATTTGCTACAGTTTTGAATTCACTACGGATCAGAACGATAGAGGAACCACTTTCAGAAGAGGCGAAAACAATGCTAAAAGAGTGCATCAGAGATGGACCAGATGAAGTACTGCATGTGTATCCTACAAATGAAGAAGTAAATGAATATAATCTAAAGATGTTGCAAACAAGTGGTGAAGAATTGATAGAGATATCTGCGGAAGATTATCAAAAAGATAATACTACAGGAAAGCTGACTTTACGCGAAAAACCCTTCATGCGAACAAGAACAGATGGGCTCTCTGCTTCTTTGCTGTTTTCTGTGAAAGCTAGAGTTATGCTGACAAGAAATATCAATGTGGAAGACGGACTTGTGAATGGTGCGATGGGGCATATTTCAGCTTTTCATTTTGGACAAGCTCAGCAAAAAAATAGGGTAGAAGGGATTAAAATTTTGTTTGATAGTGAAGATATTGGAAAGCTGCAAGGGAAAAAGACACCACATGGAAATGAAGTATTGATTCAAAGAATACAAGAAGACATCAAGGAGAAAAATTCAAAGAACGTTGTACGACATCAGTTTCCCTTGAAACTCGCTTGGGCATGTACAGCACATAAAGTTCAAGGCATGACAACAAAGAGTGTTGTTGTTAATTTGGATCGTACATTTGCTCCAGGACAAGCATATGTTGCTGTCAGCCGTGTCACTTCACAAAATGGTTTATTCATAGAAACAAAAGATGAAAAGGCATTACTGAGAAAAATTTACGCTAATCCAGACATAAAGGCTGCATTGTGTAAGATGGAGAAATTAGTCCCAGACCAGGATTATCTGAACTGCTATGATGATCAAACCTTAAAAACAATTGTTTTACTTAATGTGCAAAGCTTAAGAGCACATTTTCTTGACCTCAAAAGTGATACAAGATTCCTCAAAGCAGACCTTATCTGTGTCACTGAAACATGGTTGACAGACAATGATAGAATACAAAATTTTGAAATTGATGACTTTAAATTCAACCATATAACAAGGAAGCAGTCATATGATGAAAGTATGGACAGTTTTGCTAAACTTCGAGTGTCCAAAGGAGGAGGGGTAGGTGTTTATAAGAAGAGAAACGAAAAAGCTTTGGTTAATGTTTTATTTCAGAAAAATATCGAGGGCATGGCAGTAGAACTTTGTAAGGAGGACACGGTTATCATCATAGTATATCGACCAAGTTCTCTCAATGTCAGTTTGTTCCTTGACTCCCTTCAGAGAGTTGTAGATTTTTATAAAGTATTGTTTTCTCAATGCCTTATACTTGGTGACTTCAACGAAGATGCACAATCCAAAGGACCAATTCAAAGAATGTTAGAAAACAGTGGATTTAAACAGAAAGTGAACTTTGCAACAACAGATGGAAATTCAATGTTAGATCATGTTTACATTACAGATGAGATGGAAGCAAGAGTAGAGGCCATGTCAGTATATTACAGCTATCATGAAGCTGTTAAAGTTTATTTAAGAACAAGGTAGAACTAAATTGTTCTTTATTATAATGATCAAATAGAGGAATATTTTTAAAAATGTATTGTTCTCATAATGTGATGATGTCATAGGTTTTTGCAAAAACTATTTTTAATTTAAATTTATACCCCCTAATAACAATATATTTTTTTTTAAATCATATTCAAAAGGTGAAATGATAAATATTGTAAAGTAAAAGAACTTTTAAAATGTGTATTTTCTTTATCACATAATTTATCTAATCAATGATTCATTAATTTCTTTTAAAAATGTTGACAAGGGCAATAACTCCTTCTCAGTTATCTTCAGAATTCAAAAGTATCTAAATAAAAGCAAGTAATTTAGAACTTTAAGCATCAGAATTATGCATTTGAAACAGTTTTTACATTATTTTTTAGCATGTTTAGAATAATGTTTACAAGAAATTTACAAATTCTCTACATAGACATAATTATATTATACTTCTTTTTATTTATGTCTCCCATCTTAACTAAAATGGTGCCCTATAATTTTCTCTTTTTTAGGCAATACTTGATCAATTTAAACTATATTAAATGAAAAGAAAATGCAGTTTTTGTAATTTGAACCATTAAAATTGTGAGGATGGAAAGCTAGATCTCAATATTTCATTCACAGTGGACACTGTTTAGCATCTTTCCATAATATGATTTATTATCTAAATCAAAACTTCATCATCACATTACTTTTAAAATAGCAAACAATATTTGAGATCAAGGAGAAATTAAAAAGACATCAAACAAAAAGATGTGTAAAAAGCTTAATTTCTCAACATTAAGCAGACGTAAAGATACAGTTTCATCTATCGTCGCTTGGGCAAGGAAACAAACTGAATATAGAAAAAGTAATGGTATGCACGTGAACACAAAAGAAGAGTTATATCACAGTTGAATTTTCAACAGTATTTAATGTCATTAGGATATATTTGGCCAAGTTACATGTGACCAATATGAATGTTAAAATTTTATGAAAAAAAGGTCAAACTTTAAGGTCACAGGATAAAAAAAAACTCAATACTGAACAATCACAACTGGAGATCTGAAATTTTTCACCTGGAATTTGGATCTCAAAGCTGGATATTTTTTTTTTTATCAAATAACATTTTTTTCAAATCGCATTAGATCATCCAACCCACTAGAAAACACCTTCTCCTAATTTATTACTTAATAATTTTTATATCAAAGTCTTGTTTAGCAAAAAATTATTCAAATGAAGTGAAATTGAGTGTTCAAAATAAAATCAGTTCAGAGTTATATCATCATCAAAACATTTGGATAAAAAAATATTGATACATCAACCAGTTAGTGAAGTAAAACATAGGTTTTATGTAACATTTTATGTCAGTAATTTGTTTTTAGATTGAAAATGAAGATATAAAATTAACCTCTCAAAAAAATACAAGGAACAAGAGTCAGTATATTTTTTTTTGCAACACCCTGTAGTGTGATATATATTTAACAAAAGTATGACCCATATAATAATTGTATCAGTTAACATTGTTTAATGACCACCACTGCATTAGAAGATTTCAATTGGGTAGTTAGCAACTAATAACAATGTTCTGCACTCTGTAATAAATATTCAATTTGCTGTTCATGCATCTATCAAGTTTATGTATCACTAATTTTTATTATAAGACCTCATGCCGATTCCTATACTTACTGCTGTGAAAATTTATTTCATGACCACTCACAAGTAATATATAAATTTAATATGAATTTAAAAGCCCCATCTCTTCTCGGTCAAAAGTTTCAAGGTCAATATAGTAATATAGATGTATACATGTATGAAATATGAAAACCTTATCTCTTCTCATTGAAAAGGTATGACCAAAGTTAAAGTTTTTGTAAGACATACAAATGAAATTTTTTATGTACGCTGTCTTTCATGAGCTTTCGGCTGGGGCTGCACGGCTAGGAGGCGCGTCCCCCGGGTGGCGGATAGGGGATCCCTCACTAAGTGAGGGGTGCACCAGATAGACTAAAGAAGGTGCCGTGGACCAACGCAGCATAAGGGAAGGACACCCTGACAGAAAACCACTGGTCCTCCAAGTTTGGGGTTTGAGCAGGAGGCCGACTGCCTCCTCTCCAAAAAAAGAATCACAGAAACAATGGACAATATAGATCAAAGAAGACTGGGTGATGTAGCCCATTTTCTATTAGATTTTCAACAACTTCTTATTTATTTATTGAGATTATTTATTGAGAGTATATTGTGATATTCTTGCCAAATAATGAAATTATATAATATTTTTGATAAAGCTTTATTCTGTTTCATCATGTTTATTCCTGTGCAATTGTCAAAGACTTAAATATTTACTCCACTTGTTAAATTTTGATATTATTTATTATTTTTTATTATTTACAAAGGTTAATTCTCACTTTAATAAATTTATAAAACTTAACAGCTGTGTTTTCATTAAGCGTTGATCATAGTTAAAAATCCCCTTACCTGTGTTTAAGCCAAGTTGGCTTCTAATTATGGTAATTTATTTTCTTAAGAGTACTACATATAGTAATTAATTAATATTATTCCTGAGATATGACATGTATGAGGAAGTTTCAATTGTCATAGGCATTGGAAGCAAATTGAAAGGGGGGGGGGCTAAACCACCAAAACATGTAATCACTTCAAATCCCATCCCCCCCCCCCCTTTCCGACGCGTGTGTAGTGCTGCTGTGCTAGTGATGGTAACATTTTGTATCCAGCTAGATATTTGCCCTGATCATTACTGATGGACCCAAAATTGGTATTAATACATATTGTCTCATCAAAAACCTCATGATAATTCAACAATCATTTGTTACATTTGTCTAACAGCATCTTGTGTTGCATAGAACTAAATGTACACCACGTGCTTAGCTTAGCACATCGTCACCTACGAATCGGAGATCTCAGCTTTAACATCACGTGTTAAATACCATATACATGTACCACTATAAAAGTATTTATGGACATAATAGATCGAATCTACACCTTTTAAGTACTCACTTCTGTATTTTAAGACATCGTTTGATACTTTGAATAAGCTTCAAATTAGTCATCATCTCTACTTTCCAGGGAAAAGTCAGCGATATTTTCATTCTCAGATCTATAGACTATAAGGCCGATCCCGACCCGAAATCATTACTGCAAACTCTGGATAGAGATTGGCAAGTTACATGAGCCAGCATCAGCTTTTCCACACTACGGTACCCGGTTCAAAATGTGAATATTTTGCACCTATTCCATTAGTTCGAGTAAAACGAAGTAGGTCAATTTTGAAATTGATTACAGAATTTCTCTGGAAGTAAACGGAATAAACTTTAACAGTTTTGATAATTGAAAAAAAAAGGGGGGGGGGGGTTACAGAATTTCATACAAAGAATCACATAGCAGACAGTCCAAGACCGTTGTAATGATTTTAAAGGGAGCGACCCCCAAAATGAGTTGAAAAGCCCCCAAAAATATGAATTATAACAATAACAAGCAAATCCCGCTTTCGGTGTCTTTGTGGGTGATACGTCATTTTTTATAAATATTGTGTGTATTATGAACACCCCATCATATATTATTTATTTAGAAACAATCACTGAACTCCAAGGTCAAGGTGAAAGGGTTAAAGATCTTGGTATCCAATGAAAAGTCTTTTTACAAGATTTACATGTGTGAAGTATTCGTGAAAGCCCTAGCCCTACCATTCAGAAGTTATTGTCAAGGTTAAAGTTTTTTCACTAGAACGAAAAATTTCCAAGGTCAAGCTTAAAAGGTCAAGGTTGTTGATATAAAATGAAAGGTCTTGCCACAAAAAAATACATATGTGAAATATGAAAGTCAAAGTTTAAAAGTTGTAGCACACATTTTTTAAAAGTAGGTCAAACTCCAAGTTGAAGGTCTAAGGGTCAAAGTTCTTGGTAATCAATGAAAGGTCTTTTCACAAGAATTACATATGTGAAGTATGAAAACCCTAGCCCTTACCGTTCAAAAGTTATGGTCAAGGTTAAAGTTTTTTTCCCTCCAGGTTAAGGTCAAAAGGTCAAAGTTGTTTATATTTAATGAAAGGTCTTGTCACAAAGTATATATACGTGAAACATATAAGTCCTAGTACCTACCATTCAAAAGTTATGGACAAAGTAAAAGTATAAAAAGTAATCCAAGGTCAAATTTAAAACACAAAGGAATTCACATGTGAAATATGAAAGTCACCACACAAAAGTTTAAGGTTATTTTTGTGACTAGTTGAAGGGGTTGGTGGATTTAATGTCCCCTCGCTTTTGCGAAAGCGAGGAACAATAAATAAAACACAAGAAACCTGTGCACCACACTTTAAATTCTAGTTGAAGGGGTTGGGGGCGCAAAGGAGGGGCTCAAACTTTTTGGAACATTATTCTTTCCTATGGTTGCATGTGGGTATTTTGACCTTCCAGCAGCAAAAAGTGTGGAAGAGCGGAGGGCATCAGTCCAAATCACAAGACACCCATGGGCCACATCGCTCACATGAGCACTGAGGCTGGAGAAAAACCAAATTATCAATTGATCCACTATCAAAAAAGCTTAATTGCGTTAGTGGTCACAAACTTTCCCTTAAAAGGGGGTGGCATGCGATGGGGAGTATGATTTGTATTACAGGGGTCTGAAGCTTTTATCGTCCAAAAAAAATAATAATCCGGACAAAAATTGCCTACAGTGACTGTACTTCAACAAAAAAAAAAAAAAACAAAACAAAACAAAACAAAAAAAACAAAACAAAAACACCAGGATTGCAACGTGTTTTGGGGAAACTCACCTAAACAAATAGATCTGGGCTTGGCCAGAAAAAAAATCACGACTAATTCTGTATCCGGGGTGTTTGTGTAATTTATTCAAGTTGAAAAATCCAATCTGCTTGATGACTACGGGCTGTGCATGGCCTTTTTTTCCACATTGACAGCTCATCCTGGACTCCATGCCACTAAACCGGAAGTGAATATCTCAGTATATATTTGTTACTTGAGTTTTTACAGTTAGAGGAA